TGGCACGGGGCTGGCACGGCACGGAACAGGGCTGGCACAGCACGGCACGGCACAGCACAGCACGGCACGGGGCTGGCAAGGCATGGCATGGGGCTGGCATGGCACGGAACAGAGCTGGCACAGCACGGCACGGCACAGCACGGCACGGGGCTGGCATGGCATGGCATGGCACAGCCCAGGGCTGGCAGTCTGCCTGGCTCGGTACAGCCCAGCACGGCAGGGTCTGGCATGGCACAGCATGGCACAGCACAGGGCTGGCACAGCACGACATGGTGCTGGCACAGCATGGCACAGGGCTGGCACAGCATGGCACAGCAGGGGGCTGGCACAGTCTGCCTGGTTTGGTACAGCCCAGCATGGCAGGGCCTGGCATGGTATGGCATGGCACGGGGCTGGCACGGCATGGCACAGCCCAGGCCTGGCACAGTCTGCTTGGCTCAGTACAGCCCAGTGTGGCAAGGTCTGGCACGGCATGGCACAGCACAACACGGCATGGCACAGCATAGGACACCACAGGGCTGGCATAGCACAGCACGGCACAGCATGGCACAGGGCTGGAACAGCACAGCACAGCATGGCGCAACGTAGGATGGCCCAGGGCTGGCATAGCACAGTACGGCACAGCACGGGGCTGGCACAGTCTGCCTGGCTCGGGACAGCCCAGCACAGCAGGGTCTGGCACGGCATGGCACAGCATGGTCCTTATGGCCCAGCACAGCCCAGCACTGCCCAGTACAGTCCAGCATGGCATGGCACAGCCCAGTCTGGCATGGTCCAGCATGGCACAGCCTGGCGTGACATGGTACAGCATGACCTGGCCTGGTTTAGTGTGGCATGGCACAGCCCGGCCAGGTACAGCACGGTCCTGCTGTGGCATGAGAAAGCCCAGCATGGCTCAGTTTGGCACGGCACGGCACGGCACAGCACGGCACGGGGCTGGCGTGGCATGGCACAGCCCGGGGCTGGCACAGTCTGCCTGACTCGGTACAGCCCAGCATGGCACGGCCTGGGGCTGGCACAGCAGGGCACAGGGTGGGAACAGCCCCCCTGGTTCGGTGTGGTCCAGCCCAGGTCTGTCCCGTAGCTGGCGTGGCACAGCATGGTCCTTATGGCCCAGCACAGCCCAGCACTGCCCAGTACAGTCCAGCATGGCATGGCACAGCCCAGTCTGGCATGGTCCAGCATGGCACAGCCTGGCGTGACATGGTACAGCATGACCTGGCCTGGTTTAGTGTGGCATGGCACAGCCCGGCCAGGTACAGCACGGTCCTGCTGTGGCATGAGAAAGCCCAGCATGGCTCAGTTTGGCACGGCACGGCACGGCACAGCGTGGTGCATACCCCCAGCTGG